GTTACAACGTTCTTGGAGAGTCCGAGAAGATGAAGCTTGATTTAAAACCTTGTGTAGGGTTTAGGGTTTAGGTAACCCCAAGCCCTCAACCAACTTCTACAAGGAACCCCTTGCCTATTTCGAGCTATTTCACTTGGATAGATACGGGTGTTGGGAAATAAACGAATTTCTTAGGACAGATATTTAGGTTGGTGGGGTGGGTGGTGACATGGCCCAAAATAGGCAAGGTATCCTAAGATTTCATCATGTGTACCTAAGCCCTGAACCCGAAGCGTTCTTGATTTGAAGGTCCAGATGTTGGAGAAAGCCTCCATGCTCCAAGAAGACACAAGGCCGCCTCCCAAAGTTTAGTAAAGCCATTGGAGTGGACTTGGAACACTGGCCCTGCCTGTAGCCCCCATTGTATCCTTTTGTTGGGTTTGACCAGTTTTATGTTTAGGATGCTACAAAGTACCTCAAACAGGGAACTCTTATGGATACTACAGGTAAACCCTGAAGTGATGGTGGTCAGCTTTTGGTAAAAGTCTTATTCCAGGCTTAAAGTGGTTTAGTGGATTAGCTGAAGTGCTCTTTTCAAAGCGAAGGACACCCTGCCACCCCAAATCCTGAAGTGCTAATTCCGTAACCGTTGGTTCTATAGCAGCAGCCAGAAAGTTAGAACATCATTGTCCTTATGCCCTTAAGGTATCGTATACAGGATCCTAGCACGAATCCTCCTAAAGCCATGTTCCAACTTTTTAGCTTCAACCCACGAAAATTAGGATGCCTGGCTTCCTGTTGTCCAGAGCCCACGGCTCTTCGACTGGCCCAAGCTGTTGTACCGATCGCCTGGTTGTAAATACTAAATCTATCTCACAAATTAATTCGAACTGTGGACGTAGCAAAGAGTACATACATATATATATATACACATACAAACACATTCTTATATATATATATATGTATATATGTATGTATAATATACATATACATATGTACATGTGTATGTATGTATGCTGTGTGCATGTATGCATGTATGCATGTATGCATGTATGCATGTATTCATGTATGCATGCATGCATGCATGCATGCATGCATGCATGCATGTATCTATGTATATATGTGCGCGTGTGTGTAGGGGCATCGTCGGGTTTCGGTTTGGGGATTAGGCGGCTATTGCCAGGAACCAAGAAAGAAACCCAACATAAACTTGATCTGCGAAAAGCAAGGATTGTCTGATATTGGTTTTTGTTTAGGTGCTGTTTTTGTCCCGTTCCGACCGAAAAGGTATGTTCATTTTCTCAGTAGGATACTGAACAGGCTAGGATAGGATAGAACTGTATATTATGGATCCTGAGGATTGCCAGCGGAAAGTGGGATAAGATAAAAGGCGAACGACTTGCACAGGCTTCTCTTGTTATTCATGGCTCCAAGGTGGATCGTTGGCCAACAAGTTCCTTTTCAGTGCAATATTTATTTCGGCCACCCGCCTCGAAGAAACCATTTAATGATTTAATGTCCATGCAGACCCGGTAGAACGTTATCGGGAAACTACCGTGAACCCTATTCTCCACATGATGAAGGAGTTTGCCGGCACAGGCTCGAAGAAGACAGCTTCCTGTTGCCACCTTTCAAACAACAAAGAGCGTTCATGGCTTCGGAACACGAAGGACATCAGTATAATCCTAAGTAGCACACTTCCCTGCAGGCAGCACGAGACAGAATCCGTTAAGTTAACGTCTCTTATGTGTACTGTCCTTCCAGCCAAGTGCCGAAGCGTTGATTGAAGACTCTTCACTACTGCATCGGGGACGCCTCCGTCCTCCACAAAAAGATAAGGAATCTCTAAGTACAAGTGCTGGGAAATGAGAAACCCCGAAGACATTGACAAAACTTCACGAGACTCTGTACATCCCCTGCAGCTGACAAAGCCCCCAGATGTAGCAGAAGCTTGACACCCCAAAGCTCGTCCGCCCAAACTCGTGCTAGGGATGCCAAAAGCCCGTGGCCCAAACTATGTCCTAAACCCCGGAGCCCGAAGCCTTAAACTCAAAGATACAAGCGAAAGGCCTTAAAGGGAACTCCAGAAAGTTGGAATATAGACTAATTGTAGGATCCCCTATAATTTACCTTAAAGGGGTTACGATAGTGATATTCCAACTTTCTGGCTTCTACTGTAAGGTGGAAAATGACTTGGAACTCTAAGCCTCAAGCCGAAGGCCGCAGATCGTCCTGTCGTTTTTTGGCAGGCGACCCGTTCTCATGGCCTTGAAGACAGGCTTTAGCAGTACGTGTTAGGTTTTGGGTTGAGGTTCCAAGACCCTAAACCCTAAACCCTAAAGAGTCAGTCTAGTGAATCTTCGGGTTAGAACATGAATATGTTTAGGTTTTGGGGGTGAGAATTTGAACAGTAACAGGAGGGGATAGTGTGCTAGCTGGATAGTGTCTGTGATGTGCTTGTCGGCTGTTGGGGCTTAGCGTCTTGGGATGTCGGCTTGGGCTCCGGGCTTGATGCATTGCTGGCCCATTTCTGGGGCTAGTCTGGAGCCAGGTGGAGAAAGCAAAGAGCACGCAGAGTTGAGGAATGTGGATGTAGGCTTTGGTCAAGAACCCGGATTGTTGGAATTCCTTCCTTCAAGACCTTGCGTAATAACTGGGCTGGAGAGCTGCAGGTTTCCAAATCCCAAAATCCCACACCCGTTACGAGCCTCACGCCTTGACAAGGCCCCTTTGCGAAATCCTCAATACCAGTATCCAACATGCAGACCTTTAAGTGAGCGTTCCATGGATCAAGACAATCGCTCCCCCACTCTTAAACCCTAGTTGAGGACTGAGTCCTCAGAGCTCTTACTTCTACTCTTACTCGTACTCGTCCTACTCCTCCTCTTCCTCTTTCTCTTCCTCTTCCAGTTGCTCTTCCTTTTCCTCGTCCTCTTTCTTTTTTCTTTCTCTTCCTCTTTCTCTTCCTCTTCCTCGTCCTCTTCCTCTTTCTCTTCCTCGTCCTCGTTCGGCTTCCTCTTCCTCTTGCTGTTACCCTGACCCTGATTCTGATTCCGACTCTTGCTCTTGCTCTTACGACGACAACTACCAGTTATGATTTTTGTTTTAGAGCTCGTACTCGTACTAGTACTCGTGCCGGTACCAGGGCTAGCACTCGACCTCTACCAACTACTTTTTTCTGCGGCTTTCTTGGAGCACATCCAGTTTGCTCGGTATTTAGAATACTTTTCCAGTGTCGTTTTTGCAAACTCGAGCTTGGGATTTCCCTGCAGCGTTGGGGGGTGTAAGGGCGTCGAGGGGTGGGAGTGGGTGGGATCATAACGACATCCCAGAGCGCACACCGCACACCACTTAAACAGCACTCCGACAAGGTCGGGGCTTTAGGGGGGGTGGGGAGCCGTTCTCACAGACAGCTGGCGCTTTGGTTCTTCGTCAGTAGTGATTTTCGGCTTTTGCCTTTCGGGGCGTTAAATACCGTGCAAAACGCACGTGCTACTAAGAAGGCTTTAATTAAAGCCTTCTTAGTAGCACGTGCGTTTTGCACGGTATTTACGGTGTTGTCGTACTATACTACCAGCTTTTGTGCAGCAGTTTCTGCCCTGTCGAGTTTGCAACTTCAGCTCCTGTCGCAGTTTCGGGGCTTGAGCCTGTGCAACTTCAGCCGCTGGCAGCCACTGTCCAACCCGGATTTGGTTCGTGTAGTTGGTAGGAAAGGCTAGGAGGAATAGACGATGAGCAGGAGGAGGAGGGCTGCATGATTGAGCCCCAGACCTGGCACCAGGAACTGCCCCTCAGCGTCGCCTGTATTAAACCTTCAAGCCACAATCCTAACCCTTTAGCCTGCAGACCCTGAGTTTAAGCCCCCCCCCCCCCCTAAACCCTAAACCCTAAACAACTAGCTCTGCGAGGAGAGTTGCGGGAGCAGAGGGCACCCAGACCTTTGCATCTCGCCGGAAGGTTCAGGATTCACGGAGTCTTGGTTGGGGGGGGGTTGCAGCGTTTCCGGTTGAAGCTTTCATATAGACTTGTATGCTTTTGCCTTTACGCTTCTGGGATCCTTCCAAACACATCGCCAATGACAATCGTATGTGAGTTTCTCCCCGGTGGGTACCGCACGAACTGATAGTAATGCCGTCGCCATCTTCGTCGTCGTATATCAAAGGTCGCGGCTTGCATTGTTCTGCGAAGCTCGTCGACAAGAAGATGTACAGGAAAACAGGCGCAAGAGGCTTCTGCATTATCCGTCCTCAACAAGCCGGAGAAGCTGCAAACTGTTGTAGGTCGTCTTCTTTGCCGCTGTCGTCGTCCCCTCCTCGTGATTGTTCATCGTCAATGGCGTGTGCTACTGAGAAGTTCCGTCACCGTCATCAGTGTCTTTCGTGGTATTGAACGTCGTAGTAGCCGGCGTTGTAGTCGACGCCGTCGTCAGTGCAGTCGACGTGGTAGTGGCTTGCAGCCATAGTGGCAGTTAGAAACAGCAGGAAGTAGCAGTAGCAATAGTAGCAGAAGCAGTGGGAGTTTCGTAGCTTAGTCGTAGCCGTAGCCGTACTCGTGGTCGCAGGCACTTTCGCCGTCCTCGTCGTCGTGGTAGTCGTAGTTGTCTTTGCAGTCCAAATCCTAGTCCAAGTCGCAGTCCTAGTCCTGTCTAGTCCTGGCCGTAGCCGTAGCCGTCGTCAATGTCCTCGTCGTCCGTCGTGTTTGTCGTATTCGTCGTACGTAGTCGTCGTCGTGGTAGTCGTAGTCCTAAGGTAGTGGATTGAGTCTCAGTCGCAGTCGTAAGAGGCGGCAGAGCAATAGTGGCTGTCTTAGGCTTAGTCGTGGATAGTCTGAATTGTAATCGGATTGTGCGCAGTCGTAGTCGTCATCGTCGCCATCGCAGTCATGGGTGGTGGTAGACGTAGTGGCAGCAAGAGTAGTGGTGGCGGTAGTAGCAGTAGTATGCAGGAGGGGCAGCAGTGCCGCAGTAGTACAACACAACGTAGTCAGTAGGAGTAGTAGTAGCAGTAGTAGTAGTAGTCGTAGTAGTAGTAGTAGTAGTAGTAGTAGTAGTCGTCGTCGTCGTAGTCGTAGTCGTCGTCGTAGTAGTAGTAGGAGTAGGAGTAGGAGTCGGAGTAGGAGTAGGAGTAGGAGTAGGAGTAGGAGTAGGAGTAGGAGTGGAGTGGGAGTAGGAGTGGAGTAGGAGTAGGAGTAGGAGTAGGAGTAGGAGTAGGAGTAGGAGTAGAAGAAGTAGTAGTAGTCGTCGTCGTAGTCGTAGTGGTAGTAGTAGTGGTAGTGGTAGTGGTAATAGTAGTGGTAGTGGTAGTGGTAGTGGTAGCAGTAGTGGTAGCCGTGATAGTAGTAGAAGTTGTAGTTGCAGCATCAGTAGTAGTAGTAGTAGTAGTAGTAGTAGTAGCAGCAGCAGCAGCAGCAGCCACAGCAACAGCAACAGCAACAGCAACTGCAACAGCAACAGCAACAGCAGCAGCAGCAGCCGCGGCGGCGGCAGCAGCAGCAGCAGCAACAGCAACAGCAGCAGCAACGGCAACAGCAGCAGCAACAGCAACAGCAGCAGCAACAGCAGCAGCAACAGCAGCAGCAACAGCAACAGCAACAGCAACAGCAACAGCAAGAGCAAGAGCAACAGCAAGAGCAACGCAACAGCAACAGCAACAGCAACAGCAACACGAACGGCAACGGCAACGGCAACGGCAACGGCAACGGCAGCAGCAGTAGTAGTCGTGGTCGTGGTCTTGGGGTTTCTGGTGTTGTGGTAGTGGTAGTAGGAGTGGTGCCGGTGTTGGTGTCAGTGGCGGTGGCGGAGGCTGGCGGCGGCGGTGGCAGCGGCAGTGGCAAGGGCACTGGCACTGGCACTGTCAGGGGCAGTGGCAGTGGCAGTAGTAGTAGTGGTCGTCGTCGTAGCGGTAGTAGTTGGAGGAACGGTAATACTTGTGTTGGCGATTCTCGGTCCTGAGGTAAGCGCCCATGCATCTATTTCGTGGCTGGCAAGTGCACCACCGGAATGCACTGCAGCTACTGCCACATGGAGCATAACGATCCTCGAAACGCATCTTAGGAAGCCTCGGCGGTTTGGACCTCAACTCAAACTTTGTGTCTGCCCCACAACCGTCGTGAGGACAGCGCCTGTCATCGCGGTTGGAGTTAGAGAGCCCAAAGCCAGCAGTTTGAACATGATTGTTGAAGATGTGGAGCAGTAGGTTCAGCACGAGTCAATTTCATACTGCTGCGCCTGCTCCTCCTGCTGATACGTCTACTCACGGCTACCTCTGCTGCTACTGCTACTGCTGCCATTGCTATCGTTACTGCTGCTGCTGCTGCTACCATATGACTAGCACGAGCAGTACGAAGATACAAGCAGCACCGCCACCACCACCACCACCACCACCACCACCACCACCACCACCACCACCACCACCACCACCACCACCACCACTACTACTACTACTACTACTACTACTACTACTATCACTACTACTACTACTACTACTACTACTACTACTACTACTACTACTACTACTACTACTACTACTACTATTGCTGCTACTGCTGCTACTGCTACTGCGCCTGCTCTTGCTGCCGCTCCCGCTCCTGCGCCTGCTACTGCTACTGCTACTCTTGCTCCTGCTCCTGCTCCTGCTCCTGCTGCTACTGCTGCTGCTACCGCATCTGCAACTGCGACCAGTACCGCTGCCGCTACCGTTACTGCTACCGCTATCGCTACCTCTATTGCTGCTTCTGCTTCTGCGACTGCTACTGCCGCCGAAACGTTAGACCGTTAGACTGCCCCGGACCAGCCAAGGATCGGCCTGCCAAGCTTGACAAGCAGCAGCGCCACAAGTTCAACTTGATGGGCATGCGTGGCTTTGATGTACAGTTTGGGGTCGTGAAATGCCTCTACAGTCTTTCCCGGATGCGTAGAGTGAGGACATGTGAGGACAATAGATTCGCAAGGCTCTGACGCGTTAACTTACCTAAGGGGGCGGCTTTTGAAGCCACAACGAAAACCACGGCAGGAGCGGTGAATTCAGATGTTTTGGAAAGCGCCCAATTTTTTTCGAGTTGCTAACATGTTGGTGCAAATTCGCGTCTGCGCAGCCAGCGGCTTCAACCTCCCAGAGACGACATGTTGACCCGTGTACACCCCGAGCCAGAGCATGCCTTTGAGATTGGCTCCAAGAGCTGATCGTTTCGGACCGCAAAGAGGTTCCATTGCACTTGCCACATCGTTGTTATCTTGACTGTATCTTTCACCATCAAAACTGTTGTTATCATGTTTGTACTATCATTCACGGTCATGATGATCTGACCACTATTAGATACCATTTGAGGTCATCATAGCCACCATGTTCGGGAACCGGTAAATGTGCACGACCTGGACGGTGAAGACTTTTTGCACCACTGCGGTGCCACTGCTGCTGCCACTAGTTCTGGTACTGTACGAGTGCGAGTACGAGTACTGCTACTACTACTACTACGACTACTACTACTACTACTACTACTACTACTACTACTGCTACTACTACTACTACTACTACTACTACTGCTACTACTACTACTACTACTACTACTACTACTACTGCTACTACTACTACTACTACTACTACTAGTACTGCTGCGACTGACTGCTACTATTGCATCCGCTCCTGCTACTGACGATCTCTTCGAAACTCGTCCACGCTCTATACAAGAACTTTGGAATTGCACTTTCTGAGGCGAAGCGCTGCTGATGCTTCATGGGATGTTGACGTCCAGCGCGAAAGAGATACTGGGCAGTGAAAAAGTAGCCGCAAGTCCGAAGCGGAATGGTCGTGAACGGCAATGTAGGGATTTAGGAGTTGCACATGCGCTGTTCAAGGTGTTTGGCAACGTACGTGTGTGTGTGTGTGTGTGTGGACTCCTCTCGTACATGAGGTAAGGGGCTCACAACCCAAAGTTTTGCAGCGTTCACCGTTTTGCCTTGCGATTCGCATCATGACCTCATGTGCTTGCAACTTGTCTTGCTCGCAAACTGTACTGAGCAGTGCAAGAGAGCATGTTTTGCACACCATTGCTTTCAGCAGTGCAGGGGGACAGGGCTCTCTGGTACATACCCTGTCCAACGAAGCTGGGTACCGGAGAGGGAAGCCCGGACTGATCATCCGGGTGTACCTGCAAGGATGTTTGTGACCTCTTAACAGTACAAGCTGTGCATGGTTCCATCCTGTGATATCATCGCTGTGCAAAACATAAACCACTTTTGCGTGTACGGTTGCAGCAATGGCTCAAACTGTTCACGGCACAGCCAGCAAACACTCTGTAACTAGTATCCATCCGCCGGTGCTCAGTCCCATTAAAAGTGCGTGTGCGCGTGGGTGTTGGAGTGGGTGTGTGTGTGTGTGTGTGTCGCGCACCTTCAAATCTAAGCCTCGTCAGCAGCTTAGGGAGTGTTTGGTAGCTGTTTGCCCGACATACTTCGAAAGCTGTTCAGCTTCTTCGTTCAGCCCAACCCTCAAACTCAAGCTTCAGGTAGGGCCCAAAGAATTAGACGAGTTTTCAAGTTTTCTGTTTACCGTATACTGCCAAAGGTTTAGGAACCCCCAGGAATCATTTCATCACGTAGTCAGGCCCCTATATTGCATCCGGTACTTGCAGCCCCGGGCCAAGGGCACAAGCCCCAAGAGCCTGTGTTTAACGAAGCTTTGTTCGATTTCGGTACTAGGTATCGGTAGAGTTTGGAGTATTATTTGCATGATGAGTACCATGAGTATTATGAGTGTGATGGAAAGTACGAGTAGTATAGTATTACTAGGATTACCACTCACGGTTAACAGAAGCTGTTTTGTATCAGTATGATTATAGTTCTATTGCTGCCACTCCAATGATTTGTACGATGCGGTTGAAGTAGGATGAATAGTAATTACTGCGATGGTTTTTGTCTTGTTTAACAACCCGAAGCGAACTTAACTTTAGAGATGCCAAAAGACAAGTCAGCTTAGCATCGGGGGTACACGGCGAGAGTTCTGGAGCGTACGAGTCCCAAAGACGAGTAACACCATTCTTGTGTAAGCCTTGTATCACGCTACTCGACAACTCTTTCCGCATGTTGGTCAGTATTCAGTATTCGTAGTGCAGGACAGCCTGCTTTGGGGCCCCTTGCAGGTTTTACAGTGTCTGAGGAATGACGGAGCTCTGGGGCAGTCTGAATCGCTATGTGGCATGGGTGGGCCACTCTCAAACTGTGTCAAGATCTGAACTGCCAATGAAGCCGAAAACGCCCTAATCCATAGATCGTGTACACTGTAAGGCCTCAGCTGTAATAACCCTAAGCCCTAAACCAAATCCTTTGATCACAAGAGACGGAGCTTTGCGAGGAATGGCTTCCTGCCATTGGCGAGAAATACGCTGGGCCTGGTGGAAGAGGAGGCCATGCGGGGGGCGGCGGGGGTCATTTATTTATATATATATATATATATATATAAGGCGAAGCGGTTAGTCAAGATTTGAACTCTAATTTTGGGCGAAGGGCGGATGTGTCTGTAGGGCGGACGGGATCTATAGGGTCTGTAGGGATCATGACGATCAGGGTTGTGGGGAAGAGAGTTGGCAGATAAGCTGTACGGATTAGGAAGTTTAGAGTCCATAGATGTGGCATGAAGGGTGTAGGGTTGAAGCTTCACGGTTGCAGCTTGAGGGCACGAATTGGAAGGAGAGTTGGGGGCTTCGGATGGTTGGAGTCAGAGTGGACATTGAGATTTGTCTTCTTGCGGTGTGGAGGGAAGAATGGGACAGGAATCGGACTGCTTGATCTTGAACAGATCTGCGCCCAGTTCCAGACCAATGCGTGGGTAGGGTGTGTTTGCGAGTGCCCTTGAACTGCCGATGCACAAAGTGACCAAGCTGAGCATTGCGGAGATGGTAAAGGGGCCTTGTGGCTTAGGAGTAGAGCAGCAGGCTTCGTTCCAGTGTCCGCAGATGTAGATTATCCCGGCGCCTCTTCAAGGGTTGTCCATGGTTTCGCAGTGCCTCGACGCCAGCAACCCACGAAGTATTCGGTCGGTTCGCGGTAGGTATGTACATATTACAAAGATCTCAGAACGAGTTTGGTCTGATAAATCTGCTTGTCATCGTTATTGATCGCAAGGACGAGTCCTGGACTGTAAATGATTGCCGTTATGAACGGGTAGCTGGTAGCCGCTCCGTATGCTTTGCAGGCCATGAAGCATGATGTCACCGAGGACCGAGATGCTTGAGGGGAGCTTCTGAGGGGGTAGGTTTTTTGGGGCTCAGCCCGGCGTTCGGGGTTTCGGGGTTTCGGGGTTTAAGGGTTTAGGATTAATTTGGGGATGTCCGGGTTGTCGTGTAGCAGGGGATCCCCTGAGAATCATGCCCTCAAGAGTGCAGTGCTTCGAAATCGGAATCGGCAGTCGAACCGACAGTACATGGTTCATGTCTTTCAGTAACTCTGTCAGTATCAGTATCATCATTCTCATTCTCATTCTTATTGTCATGACCATCTTTTACCCACAACTCACAAAACCCAGCCAGCGCCAGCCCGTCATCCGCGAACCCCAAGCCCTAAGCCCGAAACTCTCAATCCCAAGCCCAGCCCTAATACAGGGGCCGGGAGGTTTGTTATCAATGCCGCCTTGTCTGTACTATTCTATTGCCATGGCTCACAAGCCCAAGTCTCTATACATCGTACTTTTTGAGATGACGCCCGAGCTCCCAAAATCCAAACCCAACGCCCTAGGCACTAAATCCTACACTGTAGTATGCCTAAAATCTAAGCTTCAAGCCAGGTGACGAGCTCTGAAGCCGTGTACCGACGGCTGGAGCGAGCCACTTGCCTCGCGGTTTAGGGTTTAGAGGGTTTCCGTTTTGGGGTTCAGTTCCTTTAGAAGGTCACAGTTAACAGGTTTCTTGTGAGGGTTCTTTGGCGGGGCTCTTTCAAAGGTTCTCCATGGCTTGGGCTGTTTGGGGATTTGGTTTAGGATTCGGTTTGGGTTATGGTCTCAGGGTTTTGTTGGGGGTGAAGGTTGCAGTGCCATGAACGGACAGTGCAGGTTTACGTCACTTCAACGGGCTTGCTGCAGACTCCTGATTTATAAACCTCGTTAATTTAGGGGTTCCTTATATCTGGGATCTTGCTACTCTTCTGGGTTCTATCTAAGTAGGGTCCTCCAGTTGATAAGGAACATCCCAAGGCTCTGGCACTCCGTTAAAAGGTACTCGGAAAGCTAACAGGAGGGGGGGTTCGGAGTAACTACGAGCACCATGGCTTACAGTTTAAGGTTTGGGGGTTTATGTTTGAGGGTTGAGGGCTACTATGGCTCTACTTCCAAAAAACCCTGAAACCCTAGTCTAATCATGTAGGGCCATGTGAGATGCTTTCTGAGACTTCACATGTCGACGCGGGGATCTGCAAAGGGCCGCAACCACCGCTGTTGCAGGGCTTCGTTCTAGAAGGGTGGCCCCGAGTCCCCCAAGAAACCTTAAAAACTGCCGTATACCTCAACCCCAAAACCCCCCTCACCCCTAAACCCTAAACCCTAAAACCTAAAACCCTAAACCCTAAACCCTAAACCCTAAACCCCCAAAACCCGAAGCCCCCACCCCCCCCCACACCCCAAAAGCCTGAGGTCCAAGACCCGAAGCCCCCCAAGCCCCCAAGGCCCAACCCTAAATGCAAAATCCCTTCAGGGGTTTTGAGGGTTTAGGATGCATGTAGGGTTCCAGAATTCGGGCTGAGGGCTGGGCACTTTTGATTTTGGGGTTTAGGGTTTAGGGTTTAGGCTTTGAAGCTTGGGATTCAACACAAACTTAGACGGTAGCTTCACGCTTAATACTTAAGACACCGAGACACAAGGTCCTGGTACGCATGCCCTTCCATCAGCTTGCTCTTCTCGCTGTCTCAAAGGCCAACATTGCGGGCTTTATGATTTGAGGGTTCGGTTTAGGGTTTAGGGTTAGGGTTTAGGGTTTCGGGTACCAGGTTCGAAGGTTGGAGCTTAACCCTGGGGCCCTCCGCCCGAAACGCTGGGCCTTGTGCTGTGATGCGCTGTCGGCGTCTCCCCAGAAGCCTCAAATCCGAGACTGGAAGCCTAGAAGCGAAGGTTGCTAGGGCTATGCGGGCTTGGGGCCTAGAGCTTCGGGCATTCTGGCCGTCGCTGGTGTGTGTGGGGCGTGGTTTGCGGTTTGTGCAGCTCTTTAAGGACTCCAAGAGCCTTGAGCGACCAAAGCTGTAGATATTGACGGGCGGCCGATAAAGCATCATGAGTTTGTACTGATTCTACTTTGTCGTGCAGGGTGCTCAACTTCGCAGGGCAAGCTCCTGAATAACATAGAAGCATGACTCATTCGTGATCGTTAGGGCTCCTTGTAATTTATTTCTTGTGGTTTAAATTCAGAGTAAATTTAACACACCAAAACATGGTTCGAATTTATTGCACCCTTCAAGCTTTAGGGTCTTTTCTGGATGAAGTACGGGTGGCCTCCGTGGCTTCTCACGAGATCCAGGTCCTAAACCTGCTCGAAACGATGGCAATCGCAACGGCTAAACCTGAAGCCCTCACCCCTAAAGCCCCCAAACCGTGTAAACCCTAATACTGAGCCTTAAACCCACCACGTGCCCCAAGTAGGGTTCGACAGCGGAGACCTCAACATCCAGGCTTTGTGAGCTAAAGGTCTACCTTTTACAGTTTACGGTTTAGGTCAGAGAGTTTGGGGTCAGGCTTCTGAATAATGAGTAATGTCATGTCTTGGCATGATTTCCTCATGGTTTTACTATCCCTCCCAAAGTCTCGTTTTCATCATAAAGGTTCCTGCATGCTATAGGCCTATAGAGTCCTTTGGTTGAAGGTTTTTCAGGCTTGAGCGTGTCGGTGTAAACGTTACGGCCTAATGTCGCCCTTCCTCGGTTCCTGTTTCCCTCCGCCCCCCCTCCGGGGTAGCAAGTAGTTCGGGCTCTCACATGTAATTACCGGAAGATATTCAAAGCCGCCGTGAGAGCAGGCAGATTCCAGCGAGTTTGGTGAACTTATGGTGACCAGCAGCTGGGAGCAAGCCTGCGTGGGCTTTGGGGGGTTAGGTCAGAGTACTAGTGAGGAGTCCAGCGTCCTAGCTGGCTCCTATAGTCATTCTTGGCCCACCCGACTTGGATGCTTGTAGGGTCAGCAAGATGGATGATATGGGGCCTACTTGGAGGTTCATGGGTAGTTATAAGTAGGGTTATCAGTCCCCGAATATGAGCTATAAGTAAAGTTACCCTACTCATAGCCCCACTTCTAACTACCCATGAACCTCCAAGTAGAGGGGTTGTAGGGATAGGGCTGGGCTCAGCCCAGGGGTCCTGGTCCTAGTGTTCAGGTATGCGCAACCACCTTACTGAGCTCCTCCAATCCTTGCAAAAGCCTCACAGGCTCGTATGAACCCTTCTAGGGCCTCTTCATTTGGCTGTTCTGTGTGCGGCAGGATCGTGGGAATTTGGTCGAAGCTTCAGGGCGTGTCAAGCCTCTCGTGCAAGTAGGGCTTAGTGTCCGAATCCCTTGCCAAAGTAGCTTAGCTTGAGGGAATTATTACGAGTAGAAGCTGTAACCACAGATGACGGTTTAGCTCCTCTTGAATATTCCGCTCGTGCAGAGATGGAAATTTGGAATCCTAAGCCTGGGCTCTTGAGCCCGAAACCACCACCCCCCCAAGCTGAAATTCACCCTAAAGCCACCTCAGACCTTCACATGGGGGGTCGAAACCAATTATTTTGTGATAGTAAGCTGTGGTGTTCCTTATTATGTTCCTGCTCTGCATGGTACTACCCTCAAATCCTACTTGGAGGTTCATGGGTAGTTAGAAGTGGGGCTATGAGTAGGGTAACTTTACTTATAGCTCATATTCGGGGACTGATAACCCTACTTATAACTACCCCTGAACCTCCAAGTAGTCTACCTTGTTTAGGCCCTTATACTGGACTTGGTCGCAAGATCGGCCATCGCCACTCAAAGCTCAAAACTTTAGCCGAAAGTCCCAATCCCGAAAGCCCGAATCGCATAAAGGGGTCCGCAAGGCCTTGAACCACCAGATTTCGTATCCCTCCACCTTAACTCTTACATGCATTAGCTTTAGACTCGCCGAGGCATCGAGAAGCTGACCGATGATCTCGAAGACAGGCAATTCCTGGGCGTCATGGTGCCAGTTCCCATTAAGTCACTTTGCGGCGACCGCTTTGGGTCTTCCTGAGTTTAAAACGTTTAGGGTCGTCCGGTTTACGAAATCGATTTAGTAGCAACGGCGGCCGCGAATATATGTAATCATGGCAACAGCATGAAGAATGCTAGAAATAGTAAATAGCATCAGCAACAGAATTCTGCAGTGAACGCTGACGTGCCTCATCACGAGCCGTCGCATTGGAAACGAGTCCAGCAATACAGAGGCCGGTATAAGTCGTAAATGCATGTGGACACTATTCTTCAGGGTTCGCAACACGGTGCAGTGCTGGAGGATTCGGAGGTTAAGTTTGCTGGGCTAAGGATTGGGTGTTGCGCGGTGTTGCGCACTGGGGCGTTTGGGCTGAGGGTCCGATGCCCTTGACAGATCGAGCCCAAGATCCGTCGGCATCTTCATCATGTTCATCTTGATGGTGGTGCTGAGAGATTTGGGAGTTTCCGAAATTAGGGATACTGTATTTGGGGTCCTTATAATAAGGATCCTACTATTTAGGTACTATATTGGGGGTCCCATATTTTCGGAAACTCCCATTTCGTTGTAGCAGTAAGGGCATTACTGTTATTGCGATTGCCGTTGGCTGTTGCGTCACGAGCGAGTTATCTGATCACTTTCCTCCTGCTAGTGCTTTTTCGTCTGGCCATAGCTCAGAGCCTGTCCACTGTTTGAGGCGATGTCTGTAAACATGGTAACCGTGGCTATGGTAAGATGGGTGATATTGTGGATGATGATCGTACAAAACATTCGAGGTCATGATTGTAGCGGTAGTGTTGATGATCAGAATAGTGATCGCAATAATTACTGCCACTGTCGTGCTTGTTCTGTGGGTCTTCCAGTGTAACAACATACGTTGCTGTAACCCCCGTATAGTGCTCTTTTAACCTTGTACAGAATGCTTAAGGCTCGTATGACAACCCTTCTTCGACACAAGCCAAAATCAACTCTCATGACCAGTCTCGCCAACACCACTCGAAAACCCCTGACAGAGCGGCAAGTTATCGAGATCTTCGCGTCTTGGGCAGATGCTAGCCGGGACGATTTGAACCCCGAAGCGGGGGGTCCCCAGCCTCAAGCCCTATACCTATACAGTTTGTAGTCGTATCCCTGACCTTTATGGGAATCTGAGTGTGTTTTCGGCAGCGTTCTTCGCAGGGTGGGTCGTGCGACAACTGTATTGCACTGTCCCCAAAGCCCTCCTCTGAATCTTCCAAGCCCCATCAACAAGGGGTAAGGGCTCATCTGCATCAGGCGCAAAGCCGGTCTGAATGTTTGAGCCGGAGGCTCAGACAACTCTTTAAGTTGACATTTTGGAGGGCTTGAGCCTGTAAGCAGTCCCTATAGAAAAACCTTAACCCCCCAAACAATCACTGATTTTCACAACACTTGGGTCTCCGCAGTTTGCGATTTTGGGCATCTGGGGCTCAAGATACTTCTGACTTCTGACCGTTGTGTAACTCTCATGATCTCGGGCTTGAGGGTGTGCAGGGTAACACTCACTGTTTACCCAGGTTTGCCTTTGCCTTTCCCTTATTGGCCTACAGAGGATGTACGAATACTTTTCAGCGGCTTTGAAGGCTCAAAGGGCCAACCTAGTTACAGGTTAGGGTTTAGGGTTTAGGGTTTGGGGTGGACTTTTCGTTTCAGACTTGAGTATCTTTGTTGATGGTTCAGGCCGTTGCTTTTTGAGTATTCACTCTCGCACGTGTGGCGAGATGATATCTAGGCTCTGACAGGTTAGTGATTACATTAATTCTCCTGAAGTCGTTGAAGAAGGACACTAAACAGTAGGACCACTAAAAATAGGGAGACACTCAACAGTAGGACCACTGGCGCATGCACTGCGCGGCGATACTGCGAACTTGACGAAGCTCCCTGGGCTGCTGTGCAGGAGACCCGCTTGGCACGTGGCCATCGACGTGGCTTCCCACAGGAGATGTGCCCACTGCCACTACAAGCCGCATCGTTGGCACTACGTAGGCATGCTAGCTGCACGTAAAGCGCCCAAGTTCTTGTAGAATCCGAACTCGCAAGCATTAAATAGGAATAGTTTATCGTCGATCAGAGTTTATAATGAGATCCGCAGTCCCGGTTTCGAAATGTTGAAAGGAGTGCCAGCACTTGTTTCTACGATCGGTCCCGAGAAGCTGGAAACAAACAGCCTAGAACAAACAGGTCATTTGCATTTCATACAGGGGCCTAAGTAATTACCCATACTATTTTTTTTGGGGGGTGCATCATTATAAATTGTAGTACAATTGGCCCGGAAACCCTATTCTAATTATTCATGCCCCTACAGTAGGTAGCACCACGGGCATTTAGCACCTCAGGGTTTCCTCACTGTAGCTGTACTCTAGTATACCCCAAACCCCTATTCGTTGAGGCATGCACTTGTGGCGGTTGACCTTGTGCTTGCTTTGACGTCTGAGCTGTGAACCTTGCTTTCAACTAAGCTGTGAACCTTGCTTTCAACGCCCGAAAAACTCAAAATGAACATCCTAAAGCCAAAAGCCCAATCTCCAAAACCGAGGCCCTGCCCCCTTAACCCCTGGACCCATACTTGCCCCAAAGGCCGAGACTTGAAATCAAAGCTCCACTTGGAGGTTCATGGGTAGTTATAAGTAGGGCTATAAGTCCCCTAATATGAGGTATAAGTATAGTTATCCTACTTTTAGCCCCACTTATAACTACCCATGAACTCCAAGTAGAGACTCCACCATGATACTGAGGTGAGTGTTCTCTGGCTTAGGCCGTCTCACAGCTGCAGGACAACAGTAGGAAACAGTATACCGCTTCTGGCTTAGGGTTTGGGCTTCAGTTTTTCTGTCAGGTCTTGGCAGCTTTTGTTGGTTAGGCTTCAGGGGTCGAGGCTGCAGACCTTTTCGCCCAAACAGGTCAGGATTTCTACTAGAAGGATTTGGGTTGCCTGCAATCCTCAGACCCAATCCCAGGTGACACTTTTTCCGAGAGACCGAAAGCCCCAAACCCTCAGATGTTAGTTATAGTTACGACTCCAAGGTCCTTGCTTTCAGCACTGTCATCTGAGTGTGTGCACGATCATGGATTTAGGGTTTTGGGTTTTGGGTTTAGGGTTGAGGTTGCTTAGGGTCGAAAGTCGTTTTCAATGCGTTTTTGGTTTTACAGGTGGAAATCTCTAAGCCCTCATCCGGATGCTCAAGAAAGCCCTGCAACTCTCGACTGAAACGTGCGAAAGGGTCAGCCCCCAACAGTAAGCTTAAAAAAACAGTAAGCCTACACCTCACACCTAGACCCAAACCCCGGAAGCCCCAAAGTCCCAAGTACCAAAGGCCCTGGAATCCTGAGTCCTAACATCCTAAAGCTTCAAACACTAAAGCCCAAACCCAAAATCCTTCAAGCCCCAGACAGGACCGCACCGCTGGAGACGGTGACTGTTGGAGGCTTCACGTCAATAGCTGTACCTCCATCGAAGCAGATATTGCACCACTCAACGCATGATCCTGAACCCTGAAGTCTACTGTTCAAGCTCTAGGATCAAAGCAACAGGGCTTGAGTTCAGGTTCGTAAGAAGGAGAAGAACATTTAAGAACGGTACTACACGCACGCACACGCACAGACACACAGACACACAGACACCCAGACACAGACACACACAGAGACACACGCAGACACACAGAGGCATCTGTGAGCTTCCGCGTCGTAAGAAGTAGAGAACGTCTCTCACAGCTGGCGGCGCCTAGGTAATATAGTAGGGTTATAGGTCCCCCAATATGAGTTATAAGTATAGTTACCTTGCTTGTCACCCCCACTTATAGCTATCCATGAACCTCCAAGTAGGTAATAGAGGGGTCGGAAGAGCCAAATACATGACATATTCCCCCTGTTGCCTTCTAAGGGCCGTCGCAAGAGTATCTTTTTTCGCTGTCTTGCACGACATGTGGACCCTGTTCTGCAAACTGGAGGGTTGAGGGACATTGTGTCTATTGGTCGATTTCGATTAAATACCTGAACATCTCTAAGCCCTCCTTGAACAGTGCAATACCTGCATTCGCCTGGGATGCGCTGGCCAGATGCACCGGCGCAGTCGTGGGCTCAGCTGTCGGGGGTGGCGTCTATGTAGCTTTGTCGGGAGGCGGGCCACGAGTTGGAGTTCGGATGTCGGCCCAAGGTTTAGAGGTTTAGGAGTTAGGGTTTTTGGTTTAATTTGGGTCTAGGATTCGTTGTGGCCTTTACATACATACATACCTACAGGGTATGTATACCCCGAGCCCTCAACCCATGCCGTCTTCTCTAAGGCCATGGCGCGAGCTGCGCGGAAATCCTCTATAGTGTGCAGCTGGCAGACAGACCTCATCATAGAGCTCAGGGCACGATTTTAGGGTTTAGACCTAGACCATGTTCACTTCAACTTCAGGGTTGTCCAATGCTGGCGCACCACACGTAATCGAGGCTATGCATAACAACTGCTGTTGCTACTAACGACGACGGCGACGACGACGACTACTGCTACTGCTACTGCTACTGCTACTGCTACTGCTACTACTACTACTACTACTACTACTACTACTACTACTACTACTACTACTACTACTACTACTACTACTAGCCACCCCCCCCCCCCTACCAACCACCTCTTTTACATACTCTTGTAACCCACATCCGTTTTACTCGGTATTTACAGCACTTTCGTCATGTAGGAACATCTTATGAAGCTAGAAATTTCACCTGCGAGTTTTCAAACTCCAGCATCCGATTGTGGATTTTTTTGTTGTGGGGGTGCGTGGGTGTGCGGGAAGAATGAAGTCGAGATTGTTACGCGGACACCTCGAACAACATCTCCGCCAAGAGCCATTTTATTCGGTATTTACAGTACTTTCGGGATGTCCGCCATCTTATAAAGTTGCCAAGCCTACTTCTGGACTTTTCTACGTTGTCTGTTTGCCTTTGCGAGGGCTTTCAGCGAAAACTCGAAATTGGGTGGGGGAAGGCTTGTTTTACTCGGTCTTCAAAGTAGTTCATCTGGTATGTTAAATCTTCGTCATCATCATCATCAACAACGAACATCATCACGACTTGAACAGAACAGAGAGGCATGCAGATTGCGACTGCGCGTGTCTCGCAGGCTTTTTTGGAGCTGGCAGTCATTGCTTGGCGCGTGTCCCTGCAAGGTTTGGTTGGGCTAGCAGTCAATGGTTGGCGTGGAGGCTTAGCCATACACTAGACCATCGTGGAGCATCGTGGAGCATCTGGGCTACTGTGAACAGTTGCTGTGGATATTCGCTGGCAACTGGTCGAGGCTGCCTGTACGTTATCAGCCCACCCCCCCCCCCCCCCCCCCCCCCCCCCCCCCCCCCCCCCCCCCCCCCCCCCCCCACGCATGCAATCGCATCATGAGCATAGCATACAAAGCATCCTGGAGCATCTGGGCTACTAGGAGCAGTTCCTGTGGATATTCGCTCGCAACTGTTCGAGGCCGCCTGTATGTTATCAGCCCCCCCCCCCCCCCCACCCCAAGCAACGCATGTAAGGGGGTGGTTGGTAGGGGGGGGGCCGCCTACTACTACTACTACTACCACTACTACCACTACTACCACTACTACTACTACTACTACCACTACTACTACTACTACTACTACTACTACTACTACTACTACTACTACTGCTGTTACTACTACCACTACTACGACTACGACGAGTACTACTGCTGCGACGACGACTACGACGACGACGACTACTACTGTGTATTTTTAACTACCACTGATTCGCTACTCCTGCTAGTGTTACGACAGGTAACCAGAGTTGTGGTTCGTGATGGTGACTGAGCTGGGTTAAGTCTGCAAGCTGTAGGGTCTGAGGTTTGGAGAAGTTTGGGTGTAAGGTTTTCGGGATGCAGACAGGGGTCATGAGGTTTGAGCTGGGATTTCGTGAATCTGCACGCACACAAGTCTGCATCATCAATACGGGGTAGGTCGAATTTCTTGTCCAATATGCGGTCCGTGCAGCAGTCCTTGCTTCACGATCGCATTGCTGAGTTGAAAACAGTCTCTGGGCTAGCGAACCTTACGCCTCGAATTTCGGGGACTTTTCAGGGGCCTGTGTGGTTTAGGCATTGGGTTTGTATTGAAGGAATGAACAGTAATTTGGTTCGCAGGCTTTAGTCTGATGCTTGATTTCGACCCTTATGTGGTAAGGTTTGTTTAGTTTGGGAATTTGGGGTTTATACCGTGCATAGTTATACGTTATAGGGTAGGGACTCTTGGAGGGCCGCCCAGTCGACTGCACCAGAATCATTGCAATGGTATGCATGAGCGGGCTGCTTATAAGCGATGTCGAAGCTCTTATGAGTGAGGGGTGGCATTGTGTCTGTACCAACGGCTCAGAGTTTGCGGACTTCAAGGAGGCTCATGTAGCTTGAAAATCAGTAGAAGTGGCTGTGCTCGTCTTATTGCTGGAGCAGGAGCAGGACCAGGAGGAGTAGGAGGAGTAGTAGTGGCAGTGGTGGCAGTAGTGGCAGTAGCGGCAGCAGTAGTAGTAGCAGCAGTAGTAGTAGTAGTAGCAGTACTAGTAGTAGTAGTAGTAGTAGTAGTAGTAGTAGTAGTAGTAGTAGTAGTAGTAGTAGGAGTAGTAGTAGTAGCAGTAGTAGCAGTAGTAGCAGTAGTAGTAGTAGTAGTAGTAGTAGTAGTAGTAGTAGTAGTAGTAGTAGTAGTAGTACAGTAGTAGGAGTAGTAGTAATGACACTAGTATTTTGAATAGAAGTAGTACTCGAAGTAGTAGAAGGAGTAGTAGTCGTTGTCGTAGTAGCAGCAGCGGCAGTTGTAGTGGTCGCGTTAGCTGTAGTGTGGTAGTGGAAGCGCCGGTGCTAGTGCTTAGTGGTGGTAGTAGTGGTCGTAAGTAGGGGTAGCAGTAGTAGCAGTAGTAGCAGTAGAAGTAGAAGTAGAAGTAGAAGTAGAAGTAGTAGTAGTAGTAGCAGTAGTAGTAGTAGTCGTAGTAGTAGTAGTCGTAGTAGTAGTAGTAGTAGTAGTAGTAGTAGTAGTAGTAGTAGTAGTAGTAGTCGTAGCAGTAGTAGTAGTAGTAGTAGTATTTGTAGTAGTAGTAGTAGTAGTAGTAGTAGTAGTAGTAGTAGTAGTAGTAGTAGTAGTAGTAGTGGTCGTAGTGGGAGTAGGAATTGAAAGTGCTGTAATGGTCGCGGTAGCTGTAGTGTGGTAGTGGAAGCGCTAGTTCTAGTGCTTAGTGGTGGCAGTGGTGGTGGCAAGTAGTGGTAGCAGTAGTAGCAGTAGAAGTAGTAGTAGCAGTAGGAGTAGGACTTGGCGGTGCAGGAGCAGGAGCAGGAGAGGGAAGAGGAGGAAGAGGAGGAAGAGGAGTGGGAGTAGCAGTGGGCAATGCAGGTTTATGTCATCAACCGTAGTATCATCATCGCTATCACCAGTTTCAGTAGCTGCAGTCGCGCACCTACAGTCATCGTACAGCAGTGGTATAGAAGCTGAAGCAGTCGTTGTTTTGGTCGGATTGTTACAATGTCGGGGGAGAGCAAAACTAGCGGTGAAGATACTAGACGTAAAGCCTTGCCACATGTCTGCCAAAAGTCTTCAGGGATGGTGATACTTAATGTAGTGGACATGAATAATTAGTAGTAGCGCTGCCGTATAGTCGCTTTTCACTATACGCCAACTCTGTTCCGACCATTTAGGTAGCACATGCCCGCATTAACTTGGCCACGCCTTCGGCCATACTAGAGAGGCCTGAATAATTAGAATAGGGTTTTGGGATTAGATTATACCATAATTATAATGAGGAACCCCCAAATTCGTACAGGTAATTATTTAGGCCCCTGTATTGCCAGACATGCTGCCACACCGCGCTTTGAGGGCCGCGTCGTGCTAAGATTTTAAGACGCAAGTTATGTGTCAAGTGTTCGCATGCCCGTGTACAATGCAGGGCTTTCCGCCCAGCAAGATAGTCGCAGTGTTCATCTAGAGCAAGATTTCCAATCCCGCACATCGGTCTCTAGCTGCTCCCGACGTGGGCTTTCCCAACTAAACCCATGGTCGCAGTCTCCCTACATGCAGTCGGTGTTAACATGATCCTCAGACAAAGCTAGTCGAGCTTCGCAATGCTGTTGCCATCTTGTTTTTTGGCCTTGTGTGGCGGGCATTCTGGGGTTTATATAAAGTTTGCGCATAATTTCGACATTCCATGACTAAAGGGTTTACCTGGAGCCAGCAGGAACGATCAGGAGTTTCTTTGCTGTTAAGCTGCACCATGCTGGATCTACCCATATACCAGTGCCACCAAAGCAAGACTGTCATGTCGGTTCGGTAGGCAGAGTATGGCACAGCAACCGTACATGGTCGAAAAATATCGTTGCCTGGACAAGGCAGTGGCTTGTCACAAATCCCATGCTGAATGTTCGGCCCTATGGGAAAAAAGGACAGAAATCTTCCAGCCGGCTTACCGGAGCTGCGACTATCTTTGACGGCGATACAGAAACATTGTTTAACATTTGCACTTCTTTAAAATAGTTTAAGCAGACGTGGGATGTGTGTGTGTGTGTGTGCGTGTGTTCTTGGGCAACCTTGCTCTTAGTTGGTAACTCCTCAGGGTTTAACACACCCCCCCAAACCCTACTCTAATGCTTCTTGAGCCTCCTACTGTACTAGGGTCTTGAGACCACACGAATGAACATCTACTCGGTTTGTGCAAAACCTCACACGGAGCCTCAATATATCAACGCTGGGCCCCAAATCATGGCCCGCCGCTGCTTCAAAACAACTTTCGGGAGAGCTGCAAACCACACCGCTACCCTCCCAAATTGAAGCACTACCCCAAACCCTGACTCCTGATAACTTCAGCTCCAAAATTCAACTCACAAGATCACCAATATCCCAGGCCCAAAGCGCTCAAGCCCTACGAACCCACCCTAACCTTGAGTCTTCTGTCGCCCTAAGCCCACGCCTTCATCACTATCATTACGATTGTCAATATCATTGTATCTATTGTGATGTTTGTGACTATAATTATTACTATCTCTACGTTCATTACGATGGCAACTATTGCAACTACTACCCTTAATTCCAAACCTCGTGCATTCGAGAAATCAAGCACGCAGTCCCACACACATCTCGCAGAAATGATGCCCCGACTCATCCTGGGGTCCTTCGCAGTCGCTCTGGCCTGACTCGATTCTGACTATGACAGTATAGGGTTCATATGGGTGGTTGTCAAAATTATGGTCCCTCTTCGTATTGTATTAAGGACCCAGAAAGGGACCCTATTTTTGACAACCACCCATATGATAGAAGTTTTCATGTTCAGGATGGTGATGTTCCTCACCACCCGTGTCGCAGACAGGTTGCGCACAATGGCCTCCATTTGAAACAGTTTGCTGTGCTGCTGCACTAGGTGATTTGTTGATTTGTTGGGCATGGTTTAGTCAGTTACCTTGCGCCACGTGGCCAACGCCTTGTGTATCCTTCTGAAGCAGCTCGGGCTGTTCCGCATTAGGGTACTGCTGATGTTGTTTTGTTTCAACACGAACCGACCAGGATCCATGAAATGGAAGGACACCAATTTGTTATCATTAGTTTTGCTGACATGATGATGATGATGGTGATGATGATGTTGATACTGATGATTATGGTCATTCCTTTTATTTGCCACCAACTTTTATTTCTACGACGACGACGGCGACTACTACTACTACTACTACTACTACTACTACTACTACTACTACTACTACTACTACTACTACTACTACGTCTACGTCTACTACTACTACTACTACTACTACTACTACTACTACTACTACTACTACTACTACTACTACTACTACTACTACTACTACTACTATCACTACTACTATTCTTGTTATTGCTATTACTGTTACTGGTACTATCACTGCTATTATTTACTAGTACCATTATTGTTATTATGATTAGTGTCTAGCGTTTTTGTATGATTATCGTTCTTATTGAGATTGTTGATATTATGGTTATGATTATCAGTCTTGGACCTATGGAGGCCCTCGAAAGGGACAGGCTCGTGCAGGCGGCTTGCGCGTGTTGGGCCCAGGCTGGCGACATGCGTTTTTCTAGAAACGAATTTCCCGTTCCCGCCTGGCTGCAAACGAGTGGGGAAATGCAGTAAAAGCATCCCCAGTCATGTTACAAAGCTCGTTTCCTTGAGCATCCAGGACTAAGATCTGTAGTTTTTTCTCGAAGTGGATGCTGACGATGATTGACTCAGCGAACAGGATGCTGACAATCAGCTGTCGTATCTTTTGTTGACTGCGATGACTCAGGCAAAGCAGTTTCAAGCTTGTAAGTATCGCCCTCTGCATATGGAGGGGTTGAGCGTGTGCTCAATGGGTCAAGGTCTTGAAGGGATTGTAGGCATACAGGCACATAGTCTGGTCCCAAAGTCTCTCTCCGATTGCAGCTACGTCGGAATCCCTCACATCGTTGTTCCTTCCCCCCCCCTCCCGCATCTGCAGGGAGAGGCAAGAGTCAAAGTTGTCACGACAAAAGGGAGCCTAAACCCCAAAGCCACAAGTTCCATCATGCCAGCAGACCAGTGGACGATGGAAAGTGGGATCCCTTTAAAGACAACCAAGGCTGGGACGCAGGACGTGATGCGGGCAACCATGCTGGTTGGCGCGGATGGGATTCCAGCTTCGTCTCCGGTGATCGAAAAGGACATAATCAAGGACCTCCAGGAGCCAGGACCTCCGAGAAGCTGCAAGTTCCGAGCTTCAGTGCTGAAGATTCTGAAGATCTGGGGACTTCCGCTAGATCTTATCTTCGTCAAGTGGATGCATGGAAGCGCATGACCATGTTACACCCCTCGAAACAAGGCTTGGTGCTGTACCAGAATCTCTCAGGAAAAGCCTGGATCGCAGCTGAGGAACTTAGCCTCAGCAAGCTCGGCGCAGACAGCGGTGTGCAGTACCTGGAGTCCTGGATCACGGCCCGCTTCCTTGATTTAGAGATCACCAGGATTGGGCGGGCGCTTAGCGATTTCTTTAGACGACTTCGGAGACGGCAAGGGCAAACTGTACGTGAATACAATACAGAATACGATCGGCTCTATGGACGTCTTCGAGAAGTAGGATGTTGCCTTCCTGAAGAATGTGCTGCTTGGGTATATCTCGACCGCCTACAACTAGAAGAGCCCCAAGAACTTAATCTCCTTGCCAGCGTTGGGAACAAGTACGACTTGCTGAGGCTCCAACAGGCGGCAGTGCTCCACGACCGAGGGCGCAGGAAGCCTTGGGAGTCCAATGCTGCCAAGGGTCGTCGCACGAACTATGCCAACATGACCGACGAGGTTGACCACGACGACCCCGACGACGAGACCGGCAACCTCACCGACGGAGAGGAAGGGATCCCTGAGGAAGTTGCCCAGGCGTGGATGACATTTCGCAGCGCAAAGGACAAGTACAAGGCCCAGCAGCGCAACCGAGGCTACCAAGGTGATGGAGAGCGGCCGCGAGATCGTGGAGGCGAGCCTACGTTGAAGCAGATGAAGTTGAAGTCGTTCTGCAGCGGATGTGGACGGAGAGGTCACTGGCACAAAGACCCGGAGTGCCCCAACAATCAGGGCGCCACCGCGGGCACCAAGGCCGGCGGCGGGAACGATGGTGGAGGGCAAAGCCGTGGAGGAAAGGACCCCGCCAGGGAGGTCGCCATGACTACGGTCTTGCCTGCCAGCATCTGCGCTCTGAAGCATGAGGGCCACTCGCTCATGGCCGTGACGGACACGGCCTGTGCGCGAACAGTGGCTGGAACGCAATGGCTGCAGTCTTACACAGACCTTCTTGCCGATCAAGGAGAGCGACCAGCGCTTCACAAGGAAAACGAGGCGTACCGTTTCGGCACCGGCAAAGTGCATGTGTCCACCTTCTATATCGTGGTGTGCTTTGAGCTCGGGAACAAGATTGTCAAGGTTCGCACGAGCATAATCACAGGTGATGTCCCCCTCCTGCTTTCCAAAACAGTGCTCGGGAAGCTCGGGATGGTTTTCGATGTTGAGAAAGGCAAAGCCGATTTCAACAAAGTCGGACTTACTGACTACATGTTGCTCACGACGCCAAGCGGTCACCCGGCGATACCCATTGTGCCCGCAAAGGCTGGCACCGGAGGGACTTGCACTCTCCAGATCGATGACCTCCGACTCGAGCCGCGTGAAGCATACATGGACGTGTTTGCACTTGCGTACCAAGGCCCCAACAGATCCCAGCACACAGGAATCTATCAGCCCAAGAAGCTCGACCCAACCATCACAAACCTCCTCAGTGAAGACAGCCTTGCTCAAGATCCTTTCTTTGTGTGGTGGAAAAGTACTACAGTGGATCGTGACTTCTGGCTAGAGACCCCCGCTACTTGGATTAGAGTTCACGTTGTACCTCGAAAAGGGCTGTTTAACCCATCAACCTGGAGAACCTCAGCCACGCTGCAAAGGGACATGCTGCTTGCTTCGATCGGGTCCACACGAGTGACTGAGAGTGTGTGCTGCACTTCCGGCAAGTGGATAGAGCCGATTCTAGATCACTGGAAGGACGGTGTCTTTGAACAACCAGCACATCCGCAACTTTGGGCTGGAAGAACTGTCTTTTACAAGAAGGCCCGAGAACCTGTTCCTGATCCCGCCCTTGCGAGCGATGAGCTCCGAGCCATGCCAGGGACCACCGCCGCCGATCAGCAAGATGACGAAGACCCAACTTCTGGCCGAGAGCTCAAGGTTGGGGCTGGTGGTGCACACGAGCTGGACGGTGGAAGAGCTTCGTGCGATCATCCGCGAGCACCGAGAGTCCAAGACGATGCAGGACGGCAAGGTCGCGATGCGAGGACTCTCTTCCCTGACGATGCCGGAGCTGAAGGTGAAGGCCACCGAGCTCAAGGTGGACTTCCCCGAGCAACATCACGAAAGGCAACCTCTTGAGGCTCATAAGGGACTCGGTGAATACGCCGGGGAACGAGCTCATCACCTTCGGGAAGCACCGAGGGAAAGAGTATCAAGAGGTACCGGATGCCTACGGACGCTGGGCGGTGGACGAGGTGAACGGGAACAGCAATTCGAGCGCCGACTTGGTCAGGTTCGCGAAGTGGTGGCACAAGAACAATGGCCCTCGAGCAGATGCAGAACTACGCGCGCGAGGCCACGGAGGTCCCGCTGCCGCAATCCCCGAGGGAGAGCGAGGACCTACATCGTTGGCGAGGGTATCCGGAGAGCTCGACCACATCTCGTGCTCAAGACCAAAGGCCTCGCATCCCCCCGTTGGCGTGGGAGATGGATCCGGGCACGCCACCCAAGAGGACCGGCGCGCACACTTCGGGGAGCTCGGCGGCAGGATCGTGGGAAGCGGTGTCGGTTCCCTCCACCAAGATTGGGCGCGGGAAGGGCAACGCCAAGACGACCAAGCGCCCCCAGGAGACCTAGGACAAACCCATGGAGAGCGAGATCGACCCGGCGGTGCTCGAGGAGATCCAGGTGCTCCAGACGAGGCTGGCCCTGTTGAAGGACAAGGCCAAGAGCAGCAATCAGTGAGCTATGAAGAAAGGCCCGGCGCGCTCCCCCAACGCCTGGCCTGTACCGATGGGGGACGATGCTGTGCAGAAATCTACGAGCAGGAGATCATCACCGACGAGGCTTTCTCCCGAGCCTACTCACAGGCTGAGGACGTCTACGCCAACACGCACCACGAGCCCCAGACCGACCTGTGTGGAGGAGACGGTGAAAGTACTGCACGCATCGCTTATAAAGAGGGCGACTTCACCTATGCTCGCTGCCAACAAGTGCTGGACGCGGCGAGGCTTCCTCGACGAGCTCTACGAGCCATGAACGACCCGGCCGAGAACGACCAGGACACCGCCTACGTGACGTTGGGTGTCTTCGTGCACGGTGGGGTTCGAGGGATTACAACTGCGACCAAGGAGTACAACAGCTTGGTCCGCTACCTCAACGGCTTCGCTCGCCATCACCTTCAGAGAGGCTGCAAGTGGAGCTCCATCTCCGTCACCAAGAACATAGCTTCCACGGTCCACCGGGACTCCCACAACATGCGTGGAAGCAACAACCACTGCGTCACCCTTGGACAAGATGGCGGTGGAGAACTGTGGATCGAAAGCCCTGGACTCACCGAGAACGAAGCGAAGTTGAATGAGATCGAGTGGAAGCTCGATAAGTCAGGCGCTTGGACTCCTGGGCAATGCTTTGATACTCGCGAGAACTTCGTTACCTTCGACCCCTTCCTGAGGCACGCGTCCAAGCCCTGGGAAGGTGACCGATGGGGTCTCGTGTACCATACAGTGCGAGGAGCGGACGAGATCTCCGAGGCGATGGACAAGTTCATCCGGAACAGCGGCTTCCCCAACACCCACAGGAAGAAGCACACCGGCAGCAGTGCATGAGCGAAGCAAGTTTCCGAAGAAGAGTGTCCGGAGCTCAATTACCAATGCTGCTGGGAAGACTGGCGTCCTGATGACCACCCTCATTGTCGCGGCGAACTCCTACATGACTGAGATCTGTGGACCCCCACCGGCTCCGAGTCCAATTGTCATGATGGAGATCGGCGGCTACGAGGGGACGGTTGAGGCGACTGAGCTTGACAAGGCCGTACTGGAGCCAATGAGCTGGGACGACCTCAAGGATTCCGACCTACAGGAGACGGCACATCACTTTGTCATCGGTGCCTCCCCGAAAGAGCTTCGAATCCACCTACGTGACATGCCCGCCGGCTGCTTCTCTTTCGCAAAAGAGCTGATACGTACCCAGCTTGACGAAGGCGGAGAAGTGGTGCTACGAGGCGAGGTACCCGGCAACCTCACCGACGACTTCAAAGAGGACGTGAGCTTCTTTACGAGTGGGGACGAAGATAGTTGGATGATCCTCCGCAAGGCCAAAAAGGGACAGAAGCCGCTCCAAGGACCACATGGACTACGACCTCACGAAGTACAAGCGGTTCATGCCGAAGACCGACCAAAGGAGCCTCACAAGCTGGACGGGTCCGGGATCACCTTCGACAAAGAAGTGGCAGCTCATGTGCAGAGCTCACTACGGCGACTACACCAAAACCTCGGACACCCGAGGAAGGAGGACCTACTGCGACATCTCCGGCTAGCGGGCTGTGAACCTCACATTTGGAAAGCCGTGAAAGGGATGAAGTGCACCACGTGTGATACTACGCGTGGGCCACAGATTGCAAGGCCCACGACTCTACCCCGGTTGCTCGATTTCAACACTTGAGTTGACCTCTTCTACGTGCACGACATCAACGACAAGCGCCACACCTTTTTATCCATGGTGGACTGGGCGACCACCTACCATGTCGTTTGCCGAATGGAGAGCGAGACGGCCGAGGACGTTGAAAAGGCTTTCAACAAGATGTGGTTGGGACCATTTGGGCCCCCTACAATGGTGTCGCTCGACCTGGATCCGAAGATCCAAAGCGGGATGAGCAGACTGTGCGACTGGCACACCATTCGTGTCAAAGATGTGGCCGCTCAGGCCCACTGGCAAGCCGGAGTGACCGAGAGGCAAGGTGGGTGGTTCAAGGGCATCTGGGATCGAGTTGTACAAGAGCTCAGCGTGGCCGAGGACGAGGTGGAGCTGGCCGGTGCTTTGGTGTGTGCGGCCAAGAATGATCTTCGCAGACGATGCGGACACTCGCCATCGCAATGGGTGTTCGGGAAATCACCCAGACTACCGCCCGAGCTCAACGACCTGGACTCCGGGGAGGCCGTCAGCTGGGACCTTACGAGAGACTCGCAGTTCCAGCGAGCTACTGCCATAAGAGCCAGTGCCCGGGTCGCTTTCCACAAAGCTCAAGGCGATGATCGACTCCGAAGAGCCCTCCTTCAACGTGCTCGCCCAGCTCAACGCGACTTTGACATCGGAGACCCTGTCCACTATTGGGATCAGCCGAAAGATCGAAGAAGAGCTCGATGGCTCGGTCCTGGAGTTGTGGTCGGAAGACAAGGAGGGAGCTACTGGATCTCCCGGAATGGGAAGTGCAGATTGACTGCACCCGAACATGTCCGAGCCTCAGGACCCGAAGAAATTGGCGAGTTCCTCACCATGAAAGGGGTCAAGCGGGAGGTCGAAAAGCTACTCGCAGAGGACATAGACGACCCCGACATGTTCGACAACGACGAGCCCGAGGAGGACGTAACGAAGAAGGCCACGCCCGACAACGAGGACTACAGCGACCACCTTTCCGACTATGAGCCGTCCGACTATGACAACGGGATCACCCTGGATGGTGCATTACCTGATGACGGACAACAATCGGACACGCCAATGCCCGACCTCGTTCCTCCTGCACCACCTTCGAGGAGGCTCAAGCGCAAGACCCGTGTTGAGCAGAAAGACCGAGGAGGAGATGAAGTTATGATGCTGAGGCGAGATCTTACAAAGCGAGGTCACGCCAAACGCCAAGAGAAGGAACTGCTGTGGCGAGAAGTTCCAGAAGAGGCCCGACCCCTCTTCAAAGAAGCCGAACGGAAACAATGGTTGGAACACGTCGACTATGACGTCGGTCGAAGAGAGCGACCGAGTACGGGCGACGGTTCCCCCATCGCGCATCCTCAGGTCACGGTGGGCCTACAAGGACAAAAACTGGGCCGCTCGCCAAGCCGGCAACGACCCAGAGTGGCGATGCAAAAGTCGCCTCATCATAGGCGGACACCTAGACCCAGATCTCGGGGAGAAAGACCTGACGACGGACGCCCCGACCTTGTCCAGACCCGGGTTCATGTGCCTTATGCAACTTCTCGCGAACGGACAACATGCACAAGATGTTTGGGAAGTTGCTGCTGGAGATATCCAATGTGCTTTTCTGACCGGAGGGTACCTCAACAGAGATGAGCCCCTCTACCTCCACCAGCCGACCACCGGTTTCCCTGGACTCCTACCACAGCAGCTCGTGAAGATCAAGAAGAACATTTTTGGGCTAGCCACTTCCCCCCACGAATGGTGGGAGGACCTCCAGAAGGGAATCAAGCGGACCCCGATCACCTACAATGGGAGGACCTACGGATGGGATCAGTGTCCTTTGGATCCGTGCATCTTCATGCTCAGGGAGTACGACAACGGCAAGTTCCATGGAAAGCCCATCGGCTACCTGGGCACACACGTCGACGACATCTTGGTCGTCGCCGCCAAATCGGTCAGCGACCTGATCAAGGACGCGCTGTCCAGAACGTTTCCCATTGACAAATGGGAAGTGAATAGACTGGACTATATCGGGTCCGAGATTGTGGTTGAGAATGGAGAGGTGAAGGTCAGCCAGACCAAGTACGTGGAGACGAGGCTGTTCACCATCGACATCCCCCGCGGAGTTTGCGAAGAAGACTTGGCCGATCCAGAGACCGCCGCGGACAACAAGAGCCTCATCGGAGCGCTGTCCTGGCTCTCAGCTCAAACACGACCCGACCTTACCTGTGGTGTTAGCATTTCGCAACAACTACAGAAGTCACCTACCTACGGAGACGTGAAGTTCACCAACGTGGTGGCCAGTCGAGCGATGTCCTACAAGCACCATGGCCTCGTCTTTCGAGGCATCGATCCCGGGAAGGCCGCGTTCATGGTGTACCACGACGCCGCGTGGGCTAACGTGTTGGAGGAGAACGAGCCGGGCTTCGAGCTGACCGAGGAGGACTACCGAGCAGGCCTCCAACTTGAAGGTCCGTACAGCAAGAAGGAGCGCAAAGCCAAGCGCATTAACTCCAAGGTCGCCTCCCAGATCGGCGCCCTCGTCCTCATCGCCGACATCGAGTCCGTTCGAGGCGGCAGAGGGAACATGTCGGTGAGCGACTGGAAGTCCCGTGCGGGACAAAGGGTGTGTCGAAGCACATTTGGTGCGGAGACACAAGCAAGCGTGGAAGGCTTGGAAGCTGCCCAGTACATGAGATCGTTCTTTGAAACCGTGATCAAAGGCGAGCTAGTGAAGGTCGAGTGCGCTACGACACCTTTGCTATGCCTGAGCGACTGTCGCTCACTCTATGATCACATTCACAAAGAAGGACTACCCCGTGTGGCAAGCGATCGAAGGCTAGCCATCGACCTGGCAGCTCTCCGACAAGGCCTACGGTGGGAACGCTGGTACCCCAAGCTTCTGATGGCATGGGTCCCGAGCGCACTCCAGCTAGCCGACGTTCTCACTAAGCCTAAAGACCCCCACGATTGGTGGGACATGATGTGCTCCAGACTCACTGTGGCCATAGAGGTCGGTGAGCAGTCTCGAGCCAACATTTTGAAAGAAGGAGAAGAGGTAACCAGTGTGGAGCACAAAGTGAGTAGTGGCACTGGACGCACTGTGCATTTCCTTTCTGATTGTTCTTACGACGAGTTGCACTAATTGTTATCAGTTGCTCCATCTGGAAGCCCCTCCCGATTACTTTCCGGCAGGCGAAGAGCTACGACCGAAGGCATCTGTGGTCAAGCGTGCGAAAAGCTTGCGGCGCCAAGGCGCGCACCGGCTGTGTTTCCTGTAGTTTGATAGTTACCCTAAACCCTAAACCCATAGGGTTTAGGGTAAATCCAAAAAGCCCAAACCCCAGAGCCCAAAGCCCCTCAGAGAAGCCCAATGGAATCCACGAGCCCCGGCACCGAAAACCCTAATCCCTGAAACCTGCACCCCCAAACATCCCGGTTAAATTCTGGCCGCATGCTTAGTTTAGTGCTCGTATGGGCTTTGGGTTTCAGTTTGTCGATTGCTGTTGAGTCCGAGTCCACGCAGTCACTTGAATCCATGGAGTCCAGTTGAGCTTGTCGTGTATCGGTCAAGGGTTGGTCCTTTGAGGGGTTTCACTTTGTAGCACTATCTCCTCTTGTCCGTGCTTGAAGTCTGGAAAGCCTACCAGTAAGGAAACATAGAGAGGAAATCATAGTAAGGAGCCCTGCAAATGCAGGTTTTGCGAGCTGCAGGTATACAAGGACCTCTGATCTACAAGTCTAAGGTACTCGTAGCGATCTCCGCATCTGCAGAAGTAGCAAAGGTATCCCTTAAAGTATTGAGTCTCTACATAGTAGCACCAAATCTAAATGTCGGAAAAACCAGTAGTAGTGTCACCTACAGAGGTCTGGAGATGTACCATAGCTGCTAACGAGAAGAACTGCTCATCACATCCCCTCGCAGCCCGTATGTACTCGTCGCTAGTACAAAGGCTTGATCATCTAGTAACAATCTACACTTGTAGCCCGAAAAGGACATTACGAACGTTTGCACCGCCCGAACCTTGTTCCAATCCGTTTGAGGGGTCTCCGTGTGTTTTTCGGGATTTGTGGTTTCGGTTTTGGAGTACAACCGTAAACCGTTTAAACCTTAAACCCTAAGGGTTTCTGAACGAGCTTCGAGTTGAGACAACAGTTTTCGGAACAGATGCGCTCAGAAGGGTTGCCTAGTGTGGGGAGAGCCCAGGCCGAAATTCCTAAGCCCGTAAGGCAGGTGTGTGGTTCAGGCCATGACGGTGAAATGGGCTGAGGTCGCCGGACTCCATATCTTGCTTTAAACATGAGGCAAGAAAAACATCCTGCAGAGGCCACAGTGGCCAGTTGTGGTTTTGAGTACGTGCCACGCGTGGAGCACTCCAGGCAGTAATGCCTGGCCGATATTCCTTCTGCCATTTCGGCAAATCCGGACTACTTAGTCGTTAAGAGCTTCAATCGAAGGGCCAATGCACGACAATGATTTTCAAAGCTATTCATTCTCTCTGCCCGAGGAGTTTTCTCAATGCCGGTCGTGTGTGGTCCTTCTGAGATAGCTCTCCCATTGGCTTGGGACTTTTGGATTCTAGATGTCGGAATTCGACCTACGCTGAGAACTACTTCACGACCCGGTGGATAACCCCACTGGGTTGTTGAGAAACAACTTTTTGGCTTGGTCCCTCTTTGGAAGCATGCGCTTGTTCAACGCCTGCCTTTTGCAACAGGGTAATTGAGGTTCAATGCAGGTAATTATGTTCTTGCGATGACAGTAGGACTGGAGTCGTAGTAGGTGGAAGGTTCGCGGTTGTAGCATTGCGAAATTCACATGATCGTGGGATCATGCCCCCGCATCTACACCCTAAAGCCCGAGTCCTAAATCCTAGAACCATGAACCGGTATCATGTTGCGGACTACCGAAGGTACCTTGTCCTCAATCGGAGAAGGGTTGGCAACTGTGCTGCTGCCACACTGTGTGGAACGTCTAGTGTGCGTGCTTGTAGCAGGGACTATATTCATCAGGTGATACCATTGCATGTTTACTCAGATGACGTATCATGCTCTTACGCAGAGGTCTGGGTTCTGCACAGGTAGCTTGCCACGGCATTCACTGAACAACCCGATGTTTCCGAAACAGCCCCAAACCGCCAAAGCCCACACCCTAAAGCCTCTAAGCCCAAAGCCTGAAACACCGCCGCTCAGGGTGTCAACTGAAAGACTAGAAGTTACGGTTCAATAGTGCGTAATTGAAGTTACATAGTTATGTGGTATATATATATATAGTATATATATATATATATATAATATATATATATATATATATATATACACATACTGTTGAGCAATTGTTGCACAATATGTACTATTGCATTTAAGATTAGGGTTCGGGCTTGGATGGTTTTCCAGCCGCACTTGGATCCCACTCAAACTGCTGAAGACATCTTGCCAACTTGCCTCGACAGTCTCTTGACGATCCCGGTGTTACCCATGCCAGCCCCTCATGTGGCTGCGTTTTCCTTGTTGTCTTTATGCTTTTTGTCATTGTTTCAGGTTCGCGAAACGTTTCGTTCATGTGGGATTCCGACGGCATATTTCAACGGTAACAGCACGTACGCTGATAATGCGTGGGAAGGTCCTCATTGCAAAGGCACCTCCTCACTGCTATACTTGCTTTGGAACCTGCTTACTTTGTCATAGTTGGGTAACATGTTACATTGTTATGGCTACGTAAACCCAATAAGGAATAACTGAATAACAATTTGAATATTTAATCCTGTCCCAACCATGAACTAGCTTACAGGCTGGGGAAGTTGACACCGAACTGCTAAAGGTCGGGCTGTAGCGTGCTCAGCTCCGACGTGACCGGAGCTACAGTGTTGACATGATGTTGGGGCCGAGCCACCTGGCAAAAAACATCGATCCTACAACTCCCACTCAAACCCCAAGAATTATAAGTCTTTAACCTATTACACCCTAAACCCCTAGATTCTCCTAGATCTGAACGACACCCTGAAACCTAAGGCAAAGCAAGTTTACGGTCGCTCGGGCCCTACATCTTTTGCGTACTTTTCCACCCCCTTTTGAAGCACCTAGAGGGAGAAGTACGGGACCCCAGAAGCCGTTCTGACAAAGGGCCTTTTGGTTTGCAGAGATTTGCAAATGGGGTCCTTCAGCGCATCAGTTCTGTACTCTTGCAGAGACGAGGCCAGGGTTCCTGAAGCAAGTCTGCGCTGCCGGCTGTGCTTTGAGTTTTAGAGTTTGGCAGGCCCTTCGGGGCTTTCGGGTTGCAATATGGAAACTGTAGTACCTACCTCGAAACAAAGACGATAGGACATAGGCCGCCCCACTTCACGGCCGTATGCAGCCCGCGACTGAACCTAATCCTGAACCCGAAACAGAATACAGGATGTTCGGAGATTGCTGGTGGCACTCCACCTATCAAACCTGAAGAGCATAGGTCAACGCATGTATGCATGCATAAAGGCAAGTTGCTCATTCTAAGGCTATCCACCTTGGCCTGGGCCGCGACAGCCTTTGCAAAGATGTTTCTGAAATTCTGTGCACTGTATACGTTCCCCCACATATGTTTGTGACTACGCATATGGTCATGTGTCGTTTTTCATATGCTGGTACCGGCCAGTCTTGTTGGAATCTCTTTGCACAGGACTGATCAAGCCTGAACCACAAAAGTCCAACTCCCTTGAAGCTTCATTCCGAAACCCAAGTTACGGTGACAGTTGGGGCTGGCAACTCGGCGCCGGAGTTTTACTAGTTCGGACTGCTGCTTCGTACGGGTTTCGGTGATGCGAGAACTGTTAGAAGACCTTCGGAGATGCTTTCACGAGAGAATCGGGTTGTGTTACCGAAACTTCCCCACACCCTGAATGCTTTGGTTTAGGGGTTGTGGCTTGTGGGAGCAGATAAGCTAAGGAACTTGCCCGTCTTTCCTTACGAAAGAAGCTCCACTGTGTGTGGGTTTAAAGCAGACTTCCAGATGATGCCAGAGCGAGTGCCCCTGAACAGCTTAGGTGATTCTTTTTCGGTGTGAGAGTGCATGTCTGGATTAACGCAACAGCACCTCAAGTATGTCGCATGTCGCTCTAATTCTGCTTGTATGGCAACTGCTCTATTGGATTCCGCTACATCAGCTTGCCTGCTGTTCTCTCCTGCCTTGTACGGTATCCATAGTCGTATTGTCTCGATTCGTAATCTTTGTAATGTAGTGCATGCGTAACAGGATATACCCCATGCCTTGATAGTGTTGTACATATACTGGATGAGTTCCATATTTGGAAACAGACAAGCAGACACGTATTTATATAGAAGCAACAGAAACGCAATATCTGCAATAGCAATAATAGACACACACCGCAAGCAGTGAAATATGATTGTTGTCTGTGTATGTCTGTATGCATGTGTGTCTGTCTGTCTATGTAATGATATGTTTATGTGCGAGTACACACGTACATTTACACTTAACTATATGTGTATCTGTATGCATGTATACACACATGTGTGTATACATATGCATATATATATATATATATATATATATATATATATATATATATATATATGCATGTATATATTTGTATATCTATATACGTATGTATGTATATATATATATATATATATATATATGTATATGTATGTGTATACATATGTATATATATATATATACACATATAAGAGTATTCATATAATTATATGCATACATGCATGTATGCATATATATATATATATATATACATATATATGTATATATGTATATATATATATACAAACATATACATATATATATATATATATATGTAAAAGATGTAGTTTTACAACGTGTGTGTTCTCATGACGTGTACTTGTATATGTATGAATATGCATGAGTATGTGTATATGTATACACATGTCGATGTGTTAAAATGCATGTGTCATCGTACATGTACATGTGCATGCGTATGCATATGTTTTCCGTGTATGTGTATGTATATGTATATGTATATGTATGTGACTGTGCGTCTGTATATGAATATGTGTATGTATATGCATATCTGGATGTAGAGGTGTGCACATATGTAAATGTAAGTGTATATATTTATATGTATGCATATGTAGATGGAGATGTGGATGTTGAAATAGGCGTAGATGTGGATGATTGTG